CACGTTTGACTTACGTGATGCTTTTACCTAATACTTTTATTTTGACATGTTTGACTTACGTGATGCTTTTAATTTGTTTTTGTCTTACCTAATGCTTTTATTTTGACATACGTGCCTTACCTAATTCTTTGATTTTGACAGGTTTGACTTAAGTGATTATTTTATTTTGATTTTTGCCTTACCTAATGCTTTTATTTTGACGTGATTGTCTTGATGCTTTTTTAAGACATTTGCATTAACTTGTGCTTTTATTTTGACATGTGCCTTAATGCTTTTATTTTGACATTTTTGACTTACGTGATGCTTTTATTTTGATGTTCATATTATCTAATGCTTTTATTTTGACACGTTTGACTTATGTCATGATTTTATTTTGATTTATGGCTTACCTAATGCTTTTATTTTGATATGTTTGACCTATGTGATAATTTTATTTTCATGTTCATATTATCTAATGCTTTTATTTTGACATGTTTGACTTATGTCATGATTTTATTTTCATGTTTGCATTAACAATCATTTTTTTATATAGGTGCCTTACCTAATGCTTTTATTTTGACATATGTACCATATATTATGCTTTTATTCTGACGTGTGCTTTACAATATGCTTGTATTTTGACTCCTGTGACTTAGATTATGTTTTTATTTTGACATGTTTGCCTTACATCATGCTTTTTTTCTGACATTTGCCTTACATTGTGCTTTTATTCTGACATGTTTGCCTTACGTTATGCTTTTATTCTGACATGTTTGCCTTACGTTATGCTTTTATTCTGACATGTTTGCCTTACGTTGTGCTTTTCTTTTGATACCTGTGCTCAGCATGATGCTTTTATTGTGACATGTTTGTTGTTGGCTGAGTAAAAGTGAAAGTGGTGTCTGTTTGAGGAGGTTTCATGAGCTGCAGGTGGAGCTGAAAGTTTGATCTTGTCAACTAGTTTTCAGAATAAACCACAGCAGGATGTGACTCCTTCATTTCCTTCAGGCAGGTCTGAAGAGGACCTGAGTGGGACTGCTGGATCCGTGTCGCCCCCTGGAGACGAAGCACCGCAGCTGCAGCCCCGAGGCAGGAGGAGAGTCTGCAGGACTCGTGAGTCTGCAGAAATCTGTCCCCAGCAGGTTCTGTCTCTGGATCTTCCCAACCTCGGAGAGCTGCAGGTTCCTCAGACTGCAGGGGGAGGGAGAGAGAGAGGCATGGAGAACAGGGTGAGGGAACCCAGATGGAGGCTGGAGAGGTAAGGTGTGTGTGTGTGTGTGTTCTGCTGCATGAGGTGTGTCTCGTCCTGAATGTTTCTGTTGGAGTCGTTTCTGCTGCTGAACAGGAATCCAGCTGCTCCAAGGTTATGATGCAAAAACAAATATTCAGCTTTTAAGAGTTCAAGATCAAAGAGAAGCAGAAAATCTTCCTTAAGTGGAGCTGGAACCAAATTTTACATTTTACTCAGTGAAATTATTTAAAGGAAAATTATGACTTATTATTGTTTGTTTCTCCGGTTTAATTTTAGCAGATGGAGTCGGTCATTGTGTTCCAGATTACCTGCTCTGTAAAAAGGTGACTGTCAACTGGTGGCTCCCGGGCCATATTCGGCCTCTAAGCTTGTCCCATTCGGCCCACAAAAGAATAATGTAGGAATACTAGCGTATATTGTCAGCAAAATAACCCACAAATCACCAGACAAATTTCAGTGAAACTCAGGAAGTGACCACCAGCTGTAAATCTACAACCTTATAAAGTCAACCAAATTCAAAATGGCCGTCACAGCCCCAGAAATGTTTATTAAAGTAAATACAAATTCCTGCATTTTGGTGTATTTTAATGGGTTGTTAAACGTGTACATTTCAGAGTCAGAATTAGAATAAGCTTTATTATCATTGCACCGTATTTACAGTGCAGTGAGATTATGTTCGTGCATTCGTCTGAGTGCACGTTGCTGCTGCTCTTAAGAGCACGGCCCTTATTCTTTAGATAGAAAAGAGGAAAGGCCATGAGGAAAGGATAGTGGTATTACAAAACATATATCTTCACTCCTTGTCCTTAACAGGACACGGTTTAAGACATAAAAAACTACCAGCAGCACATTTATAGACACGTTACATGCATTTGATGTCAAGACGGTGAGATTTGTCCATGAAGCACTTCCAGATAGACCATAGTCCTGATAAGATGTTGGTGTCAGCTGGTACAGCTTTGATGAGCGTTCACAGAAGTTTGCGGGGGGGGGGGGGGGGGGGGGTTGTTGCAGATACAGCAGAACCTTCAATAGTTTACCAATAGTTTACACATATCCCAAGAAAAATTTGGTAAGTCGGCCTGCTTCAAGGCCGAACGGGGGAGTCGGATACAGATAAGCCACAGTTGTTGATTTTCTTTCAGGCAGACTGTTGCTTCTTGTCAGCCTTGAGTCCTGCTGGTGCTTTCGATGACCCAAAACGTCCAGATTTGTGGGCATTCCACTGTTCTGTTCCTATGAGCTCCCTCCACGGTTGTCCCCAACATGCTGGCGAGTGCCGGCAGTCGCAAATGGCCTGCGATTCACACAAATCGCTTCCGTCTTACGGTTGGCCTCGTAAATCAGCTGATTTTGAGTACTCGAAGCACGAACCAAACCTTCACATACGCTTGGCAGCTTTGCCACGGCCAAAACTGCTGCTGCCGTCTTCTTTAATAGCCGATAACATAGGTATCCGATGGTGCCAAAAAGCAGGAACCCTACTATCACGATTCCAGTTATATAAACATCTTGGGCGTCCTCCTGAGACAATACGGAAAGGCACATCAACTTCCAATCTCCCAACGGATCCATGACGTACCCTGCTGCGTGCGTCTCAGCGGGGCATGAGGGTTCTCCAGGACCCTGTCGCTTAGTTGAAAAAAAATGTATCAATTGTGTTGAAAGTCCAGCTGAGCAGATCCATGACAGTAGTTTACGATTCGGAAGATGTGTAAATAGAAGCTCCATTAACACAGGACAGAGAGCAAACAAGCAGGAGGCGGACGGG